AGCTACTCAGTCAGGTTTTCCAAGGTATTGGACACGTCTGTGCAGTGTATCGCTACCTGTCAAGAGCCAATGTGTTTCCTCTAACCACTGCTCTGCTGAGATACTTGTATTCACATCTTCCACCCTCACCTTGTTTAAAACAGTTGGCAAGTGGCTAAAACAGGCTGTTGTCAGGTCATCCTTAGGCTTGCCAACTGGCAATAGCAGGAGGTGGTAAGCCCTATACAGCTGTGGTTTGAGGAAGTGGAAGTGGCGGGTGGGACATGGGCACTGAATGAGGATTCAGATCTTGAAAACAGCCCTGTTTTTAGTGAAGATGATCATTGCATTAACTTTTCTGGTGTTCTTACAGGATACTGTCATTTATACTATTTACTCTTGTCACTTCACTCACTTTCCCATCAGTTTTTGCACAAGACATAGACTCCAGACCACTTGCTTCCATTAGATACTGGTACATAGGTGGTACCTGGTTTTTTCCAACTTATGTTTTCCAACTCCATATTTGACTCACGTAAGCATAGCAACACTATTTTCTTAGAAGAATATGATTCTTTATTCGGGAACTCATTATTTGTCCTGTTAAAAAGATTTCTTCATCTGCTCATGCATGCTGTAAGATGTCAGATTTTTCCAATTCTTTTCCTGCAGAAAAGACAAGCTGAGGAGTGGAAATTGAAAGAGTTAGGTATAGATTTATGTGCTGAATATATCTGACACACATGTTAAAACAGTAGGGAGGGAAAAGAACCAGGTATCCATCAGAGATAAAGATTGATTGCCCTCTTAAGACTGTGTGTTGCTTTTCTCCCTTCTTCTGGGGAATTATGTTGGTTGGTACTCCCTGAAAAATACTGAGGAATGAATCCTTCTGTGAAATCACAGATAATAACAAACCAGATGGATTTCTGGTGCTTACAAAGTGGCTTGTTAGTGTTAACTCCAGCAAGTGAGGCAGTACTTTAAAGGGCTTGACAGAGAATGACCAGTGTTTCTCTTTAAGCTACTTAGAAGGGAGTCCTGTGTTAAATTCTTCTCAGTGGCTGGTTTTTGGCCATAATCAACACACAGATAAGATCAGGAATTTATTTTCTGGTTTGTATTTTGGGTTTGGAAAGCAGCATTTACTTCTGATTTCATTTTTTTAGTCAATTGTGTAATCCGAAATTGAAAGCAGGGGCAAGTCTGAATGCAGCAATACAGAATAATGCTGTGGAATATCTTGTGATGTATTTTCAAGAGGAAGCGTATCTGGTATCAAAAGTTCTGGTGTGAAGAGTTTCTGGTAATAGTGTTTTGTGTGTTTAGTCAGCACAGGGAGACTTTGAAAGTTTTAAATATCTCTAAAAATGTTTGTGTGCCTGTCTGTGTCTCTGTGTCTGATTCTCTAAGTTGTCTGTCTAGCCTGTATATTATATTTAATATCCAGCTGCAGCTGGGTATCCTAGTACTTTAAACCAAAGAGTCAGCATTACCAGTTTTCCTGCCTTCTCAGAAGAGTCAGTCAGCCGCGAGTTGTCATTTCCCACATTTGGGAAGTACCCTCGTGTGCTTTTAAGTGATAGTTATTACTCAAGAACATGCCTTTACACCTTGCCAAATTCAGTGAAGTTTCAGAGAAGCACAAAGTTGCAACAACTCCGGAAACACTGAAGAAGACTCAGCTTTTGAGTTTGTATCAGAGGCAGTGCTTACTTAATGGCTGTATACCACCAGAACAAATAAGGAGTCAGATCTTTGATGAGGTTTGAGAGGGACTTTTCCGCTGAGTTAAGCAGAGTGGAGCTGTGTATCAAGTTCCCTTGTGCTCATCAGAATCAGTGAGGGATTTTCCATCAGGCTCTGTAAAGAGCAGGTGATTAGTTTGTAAAGGTAAGCATCCCAGAAGGAGTGTTTGGCAAGTAGGAGAGGTTTGCTCTGTTAAAAGCTCAGCAGTATGCTCTGCAACACACCGCATGCCTTGATGGATGCTGTGGGTATGACCATTCCTCTCATTCTCACCAGCATTTTAAGTAAGCTAGCTTTTTCTTTGCCTCCTTCATAACTTTATCTGTCTCTTGGAGAAACCATTGCCTGTGTGTTTTTCTTCCCTATTGAAACAAACAACTGGAAGTAGATCAGTCTTCCAAAACATGTACCAGGTCACTGTTTTAAGGATCATGCGGGTTTTGTTTGCTTGCTGCTTAGTTTGTTGTTTGTTTAAAAAAAGCACATCCATTTCATTGTCATGGCTGAAATCAGTAAAAGCTTAAGCAAATATATGCAGGAATGCAGTGTGACTGTATGTCTGTACTTCTGTGTCCTACATTTAGCAATAATAATATAGATCAACACAGAGAAAGTTTCTGAGTCAGAGATGATGTTTTGTAAGTTTTAACATTATTCTGACTTTACAACTTTGGTGAGCATTTCCAAAGCCAAGCAGGTGTTGAAACAGAAGGCTGGTTAAGTAGAAGCAGGGAGAAGACTGCAGAGCCATTTGCCAGAAACGTTCTCCTGACCAGATAGGTGGAATAGGATGTAATGAATGTAAGGGACCTTGAATATAACTGTCCAACCAAACAAAAACCCAGACATGAAGGGAGGGAGAAGCTTCGGGAGAGTTTGTATTACTGAAAAAAAATAAATTCTGACTCTACGGAAAAGTTAGGAATGGCATGGTAGGTCCATGCTTCATAACTCTCAAGCAGTGAAGCATTCACAGCTGCATATGGCTGAAACACATGGCAAACTCATTTAAAGCCGTCTGGTTACGTCTTAGGCATAAATTACCTAGGCTTTTATTCTTTCCTTTGCCTAGACACACGAATGCCTCAACTCCTGTCTCTGATGCCATTTTTTTCTTTGAGGTAAGAATGGAGACCCATTTTGCCTGTTGAGTATGTTGCTTATGATGTTTTGTTATTCCATCAGGAAGCAGTTTGCCTCCCACTGCTTCTGAAGGAGGATGGCCAATTTTACAACTCCAGTAGTGTCCACATTACCCTCTTTACTGCTTTTCTAACAGGATAAGATGCTGTTGTCTTCAAGTATCTGTTCAGCAGCAGATGGAGAAAGAAGTGAATCAGAATCATAGAATAGTTAAGTGGTGGTGTTTTACCTCACAGATCTGCTGTGGTTATTGATAGTATAATATGGACATGCAGGGGACTACAAAGATTGATGCTGCTTCAAGCAGCATTAGCGCCTAATTAATCTTCAGATAAGGGAGATAAAGGAATAATTTAAAACTGGGAAGAAATCACAGACTTTGGCAACAAGTGCTCTTTTTCTGAGCATGTTTCATCTCCTTTCTACTAGCAGCAGATTTTTGGAGAGGAAGGCACTGAGCAGCCTCCACAAGTCATGTGTCCCTGCAGCCTGTACAGAGGCAGGTCGGAGCCCAGATGCTGGGGAGTGGCCAGGGCTGGGACAGGGCATCCTCAGATGGGAAAATCAGCTTTGGAAACAGTGTCAGGCCCTCTCAATAATGGTTCTGCGTGATGTCAAACCACACCAGGGCTTGTGGAACTGACCTGCCCTCCCTGGGAAGAGCTTCATGTCAAACTGAGTGCTGCTGGGTATTTCCAGCTTCTAGGTGCCTACTTTGGTCAGACCTAGTTATCATGGTGTTTATGTATTTATAAATTGTATTTTGGTCTTTACTTCCTATTATAGTTTCTCTTTATGATCCTTCAAAGAAAGAAGAGGGAGAGGCATTTTGTATCTCCTTATGTATAAAACATTAGGAAGCTGTCCAGCAGTGTGCTGAATTGTATCAAGTTATGCTTCTGGTATTTGTTGCTCTGAAGGCATAAGCCTAACTGCAGATGTTTAAAAGAAAAATTAAACACCTCAAGCCCCAAAAATATTTAAGGAGAAAAAGGGACAGATTTTTCCATGAGCATTCACCTTTGTCACCTTTAATAAGTCAGAGGAGAAGCAACTACTAGTTCAGATCACTGTATGGATCACTGTGAAGATCACACCTTACTGTATAAATTGCTGTACTAATTACCATTGTCTTTATAACAGCTGCAAATGGCATTATTCCATTCTGTTACATGCATGGTAGCAAAAGAATAAGTGATGCAAGACAGTTTATGATTCTACAAGAAATGAAAATTAAAGCTCTGGAAGGGGAAAAAGTCCTACATTTCTGCATGGGAGAACAAAGATAGAGTTGCAAAACTGTCATAAAGCTGTTTGCATTAGATATTAGTGATCTTATGCCAAACTATTGGAGCCAGCTAAGAAGATTTTCAAAAACTTCTCATAATTTGGTAAATTTAAATAGATTCTCCAAGGGAAGTGCTGCATGGTCTCAATATGAAAGAGGACTTAAATGGAAAACCTGCACAACTACGGTGACCCTTATATGTGGCAGCCTTCAGCCTTGGCAGCAAACAGCACACATTTCTGCCATGTATGTGGATGGCTACTGGACAGATCATCTGATATTTCTTTCCAGAATGGGGTATTTACTGGAGAGTTTATGCCAGAGTGCCCTTAAATCAGATTAGAAAAAAAACCTGTATGGATCCCAAACCCCGGTTCCTAATGGACTCTGGGAGTGCTCCAAGACCCCATGCTTCAGCGCTGGTCAAGTCTTCAAGAAGATTTGTGTCCATGTGCCCTTTGTGTCCATGTGTAGGCAGAGAATGTATCTCCATGTTTCCTGTTGGCCACAGCTTCAGTGACAGTGATTGAAATCCTTTTTCTTACATTAAATTGACAGGTGTCTTGCTTTTGGAGGTGAATAATTTCTTTCTTGTGGGATGCAGCACCATTTACCTCGAGAATTAGTAGGGTATTAAAGCTGATAAAAATGACAAAATGGTGCATGGTAATTGACAGTTATGTTCATTGTCGTTGAATGTGACAGAGGGGACAGAACCACAGTGGTACATAAAAACAAGAGCAGAGATGCAGAAATAGTAACTAGGAAGATGTGTGTGCAGGCTTTACAACAAATGCTATTTGTTACATGTAAATGTAAATCTCCCCCTCTTGTTTTACAGAAAGAGATGACAACCAGGATGTGTCACTAAAAGGCTATCCACTGAAGAAAAGCAAAGTCCAGTTTTCTTCTTACTGCAGAGTTCAAGAATGTCACAGCCCTTGTGGACTGAGCCTGCTTGTTAATCCATGAAAGCACAAAAGATGGGAACCACAGTTAATTTCACGAATGCTTTCCACCACTTTCAGTGTTCTTAGCCCTGCATATGTTGCTAGGAACCTCATCTGAGCAACATGGATTATTGAGAAAAAGAAGAATCAATTTCATATTAGATCTAACTTCTCCATTAGGGATAAGAACCTCTTCAGCCACAAATGATGGCAGAATGTGCTCCTGCTGCTAAAGCTTTACTGAAATTCAGGTCAGGTCCCTGGGCTAACCTCCAGATTAGTTGTTTAGGAATGAAACTGGATTGTTAGCAGCAATGTTGTTTTCTTTTTATTTTGTTTCTTGGTTTGTGCTTTGTTTCCCAAGTGCAGCAGAGTATTAAGATGATCTGGAGTTAATCTGAAATCACAGAAGACGTCTAGCCTTTAATGCCTCCCCCCATCACCAGGCCACCCAAGGCTTGGCCATTGTTCCCAAATGCCAGCGAGACTTGCATTTCCAGGAACACAGCTGTATTCTTCACCTGATCAGGCAGCATGTGCTTCATTGTGACTCTGAATTGAGTGACAGGGGACAGTTTCTGATCTAAATTACATGAGTAGAAATCCAGATACAGCTCTGCAGTGTTGAAATATATTCTTTGAATTCATCCTGTGACTGACAGCAAATCTGCTCAGTATCTTTGCTGTACTCAGCATTTTCCTGAAGTACCCGATGAAGTACAACAATGTGATTTGGTATCCTCCTGTCCTCTTAGAAGAAGGATCTCTCTCATTCATCTTTTCAGGGAAAAATAAACTTAATTTTAGTTACTGTTCTTAAACATAGTTACTTCCTGGAAGGAAGACGGAGTGAAGACCTGTAACATAAAAGAGTGGGAGGGACTAAGTGGAGGTCTCTGTTGCATCTGAACAGTGTCCAGCAGTGTGGCTTGCTTTCCACGCAAAGTTTTTTTGCAATACTCAGGCCAACTTAACTAATTCATGTATGTACAGCCTGGAAGCATACATTGCAGTAAATCAAGTCTTCTATGCCAAATACACCCTGATAAGAGGCTTTCTTCTAAAAAAACAAGAAGAAAAAAAGAATATTAAAGCAATATTTCACAGAGAGATCACAAGAGACATACAGCTGAGTACATGGAGTCAAGTGGAACACACTTGCATATTTTGTGCCTTCTAATGAATTTTGCACACTTGTGTTATTGTGAAAGATTATTCCTTCCTGAGTAAGTGCTGAACTCTGTTGCTCCCTTCTTCTCAAGTTAGGTATGTTTACATCTTCTGAGACAGTATCAGAAGCAAATCTCACAGATCATGGAAGGGGTAGCATGCACTAAAGAGTAACAGCAGTTTCAAGCTCATATTGTGGTACATTCTGATTTGCTTGCCTGCTTGCTTAAATTGGGGCTTGTAAATGTTATTGATTGTCCTTTCCATGACGAAGGGCTTTTAGTGTAGCTAGGGTGAAGGCTTTTCTGCATCTTTAAATTATGCAAGCAGCATTATCCTTTGCTTTCAAGGGGATGGACTGTAGTGTTCCTACCTCCTTTGGTGGTCTTTGCAATCGGGTTAATTCTTTGGATATTGGAATGTGCACACAGATAACTTCTGGCCTGCTGGCACTTTTGCAGGATATAACTAGCTTGTGGAATTCATTGCCACAGCTGCTGCCAAGCTTAGTTGCCTGATTTTAAAGACGAGAAATGTTACACCTGTGGAAGAACATACATGGTACATGTGGATGACGGCTGCCTGGAATTACGACATTAATTGCGTACAAAAAGGTTTCTTGCACCCCTCTGAAGTGCCTGGGCTGTTGCACTGTTGGTGATGGAGCTGTAGCTGGTGCTACAGATCTTGAATTTCGGTGTGGTCAGTTGCCATCTGCTGTTCTTGTGGCTGGGCAATACTGTAATGCTGTATTTTAAAGATTAACACAAACATGCAAATGTGTGAAATTTTCTTTATAAAGATCAAAGTCACTACATAATTTGAAAATCATGGTATTATATGCATAAAATACCTTCATCTTATTATGCTACTTACCACATGCTGGTTTGAGTCTGTTCACTGTAGCTGTCTGAAGTAGAATTTGTTCCCAGTTACTTTGGATTGTATTTTAATGACCTTTTTGCGAATGTGTTGATCTTGTGAATGCAAAACTTATCTGTTGGAGTATTTTTCTTCTTCTGAAACTGCTTGTCATAAACTCTTGTGTTTCCTTTTCTAGTACAGCACACTGTATCAGGAAATGCAGAGTTTACGCTAGAGGATTTGTGTTTGACCTGGCCAAAATTCCTGTAGTTAGAAAAACCTGTTACAATCCGGGAGCTGAACCAGCCACAAGGAAGTGCAAAATGTACTTGTTCTGGTTGTTTATTCCACTGGGGAGAACAGTGAGGTTGCTAGGTGATGAAATAAATTTCCTCTGAATGGTAGAGTTTGGCCTTTGGCTAAATATGCCTCCAAACAGGTGCACTTGATTCTACGGCAGAGGCATTCAGCCAGAGCCAGCCCATCTCATGCTGTGAGCCGTTTCTCTTTTCCTGTGCCTGGTATGTGATATGCAAATAAAAATAATGTCTGGAACGTAGCATCGCTATGTGAAAGTATATTTCCCTTCCCACAGAGGACAGAGGTGCAGCATCCTACTGAATCTCATACTTAAGGATTCCAGCTGCACCAGTAGTCGGCTCTGGGCCGCATCTGGACAGAATTTTGGTTTGGTTGTTAAATGCAGGTCCTGATTTATGTGATTCCTCAGGATATGTAATGAGAACTGACTTTAAACATGATTGTGTGCAGAGGCACCATTTTCACCTACTGAGAAAAACTTTCTTCCTGATCTTACCAATTATGTATGTTCCTAATCATTCCAGCATTCCATATGATTCTGGGATTGATGGGAGGGAGATATTTGGATTTGTTCTTTTGGTTTGGGTTGGGTTTATTAACCTTTCTACTCTTTCAATCAGGTCTTGGTTTTCTTGCCTAAAAACCAATTATTTTACTCTTGTACTTATCTTAAGATAGGCTGTTAGTGTTAAGCTTCAAGGCACTGTAAGAGGGATTGCTTCAGCTGACTGAGACCGTAGCTTTACTTCAGAGTGTGAAGGGTTCCTGTGATACCAAATTGCCTTCGGTGGTTAAAGACTTAATAGCTTTTATTGATTGTCTCTGTAATAAAGCATTTTGTAGTGAACTTCTGCTTTGTATCAACACAGACTAGTGTCACAGTAGTGATAAATGCAACATGAAACAAATCTTAATGTCACCTCCCTTTCAGTGTTAGGAAGGATGGAGTTCCAGGGTCTGTCAAAGGGGCTTTTTTTTTACTGATATTCAGCAGTAAAATTGATATTCTCCATCAGATTTGAGAGCACTTTGGTACTTACAAAAACAGGAGTTTTCTCCAAAACCTCAAGCTCTAAGCAGCAAAATGTGCCCCAGACTTGACTCTCCTGACCATTAGATTCATTAACAACAAGGTAGGGAAAGAGGAGGAGAGCAGTTGATGTGTAACTCTGTGAGGACCTATGGAAAACTGCTCAAGATATGCAGAAACCTAAGAGGTAAACCCTGTACCAGTGATCATGTATGAAATAATTCCTGGAGCAGTGTGGAAAGGACACAGAGAAGAGTACCCTTTGTAGTCAGGGAGCCGCTATTACCAAGGTGCTACTAACAATAGACTAGGAGGATCTTTCAGCACCTTTGTACTTTGGGTTGAATAAATTATACCTCCTGGAGCCTTCTCACAAAAAGCAGTTCCTTTTTTTACCTTTTCACCGTGTTCTTCAGGTTTCTCACATTTTCAGGGAATGGGGTCTCAGAGGTGGCCTTCTTCCTTTTAATCTTCTTTTTTGCTTCCCCAAGGACAATGTTATTACAAAACGCAGCTTTCTCACCTCTCTGTGCCTTCAGAAAGGATACCTCTCACCTGTGCCCTCCAAAGAGAGGCTAAGGATTGTGTTTGCATTGTGTCTTCAGAAGAGCAGAAGCAGAGAGCCAGAGGAACCTGCCAGCCCAGCAAAACAGGATGCACTGTGTCTAAAAAAGATACATGCTTGCTATTGTGTAACATGCTTTTAACTACTTTAGAGAGGGGATAACCCTGGGGGATGCGGTATAGACAAGTGGTCAGTGTTTTGACATTTTTTCCTATGTATTGGAAGAAATTAAATAATTCCTTAAATAACTATGAAGAATATTCCAAGCCAAATCAGTAGTAAGAACCTGGTAGTTGTATACATTGAAGTCTGAAATTATCAATCTTGATTCTTCATGTATTTCAAGCTCAGTAGAGAGTGTTTTGTGTTTTTGAGGGTTTAGCCAAATAAGTTTGAGCTATTTAAGTAGTTGTTTCTTTTCTGTTTTAATACAGATATAATATAATGCAGAGCTATAATAATATCCTCACAAGAAAAAATAAATACTTGTCCAGTCTAATACATGTGCGTGCTTTTATGTGTGTGCACATGCGTATATGTGTGTTTGGGTGGGGATATGCATGTGGATGTCTGTGTGTGCATATGTACAGTGTGTACATATGTACACTCCTTGCTCTCCCTCACAGAATACACTTTTTGATGGTTTTTAGTGGGGATAAGTCTTTCTAAGAATAAAGTGTTTGATTCCTTTTCCATGATTCTCCAATGCGTCAGCACTGTTTGGAATGTCAGGTGTGTCTTAGGCTTTTTTAGTTCTGTTTGTTATTAAATGACAGTTCAGCTGTATGGGAAGAGAAACTGATGCTAACTGTTGTGGTCATTAAAAGAAAGAGTACTTTTCAAATCAGTCTTAGTAAATGAAGCAATGAAATCCAAATATGAATAAAAGAAACTTAAACCTTGCAGAAGTGTTGTGAAGTTGTTTGGGGTCTAACTCTTCAACAAGAAAAACACTTGTGGTTTTCATACCATGGGGTGGAATTACCTGGCAAGCTCACAGGATTTAGGACCATCACTGCCAATGCACCGATTTCCTCACAGCCCTCCTGGCACCAGTGTGGCAGCAAGAAAAATAAACCAGCTGTCATGCTGATGGAAACTGTCCATCTTTTCACAGACACCAGTGGGATTGGAGTAGCCATGCACGTAGCCTTTCTCTACCTAAGCTAAAGACCCTGTCAGGTCTTCCCTGACAGTTTTTCAGACTTAAGTAGCACCATGTTCTTCAGCTAATTCCTGATGGGACACTCCAAGACAAGAGGGACATACATACAAATAGCACCAAGCCAGTTCAGGGCAGAGTTTCGTCTCCTAAAACTAAAGAGCCTTAGAATTTGACTGTGGTAGAAGGAAACAATTGGTCCAATAGAGCAACAGAAACTATCTCCAGCATATGGACTTATAGCTCTCTTGTATGGACTGTTCTCTTTGTCCTTTGGCTTGATTCCTAAAACATACATAACCATATGTGTATATTCATCATTATATATAAAGCTACTATACACTGAGTGAGTTATGGAGCTTGAGGGGAGCAAGAGCATAGGGGTTAAGAATGGCTGGTGGCTGTGTAGAGATAGCACCCAGGAGAAGAAGAGCTGATGCTTGATCTGTGTGTCTCTCTGATGGTGGGGAGGAACTGAAGATTGTTGATGCTGAGACTAATGGAGCGACTGGAAAAGTTGCTGAGGGAAGCTGGGCAATTTGGCAGAGCTGAAAGAAGCCCAATGGCAAGGGAGGTGTGAGGTTTCTGAGGGTAGCATGTGCATATATGGATGTGCTGCCATTCAGAGGGCCCTCAATAGTTGGAGAAAAAGGCCCACCAGAACCTGATGAAGTTTCACAGTGGGAAATGCAAAATTCTTCACTCGGGGAGGAACAGCTCCAGGCATCAGGATGTGCAGGGGCCATATAGCTGAGCAGAGAGGCCCTTGGGCCCTTGGTGGACACCAAGCTGACCATGACCCAGCAATGTGCCCTCATGGCAAGCAAGGGCAAAGGCCTTCAGGGCTGCGTTAGGAGGAGTGTCACCAGCAGGTCAAGGGCTGAGGCCTAGTGAGATGCATGGAGTGCTGTGTCCAGTCCTGGCTCACCAGTGTAGGACATAGTGCAGGCTGGAGCAAGTGCAGAAAAGGGCCATGAGGATAATGAATGGACTAGAGCATCTCACACAAGTAGAGACTGAAAGAGATGGGACTGTTCTGCCATGACTGGGGCTCATGGGGAATGTAATCCCTATGTGTAGTTTTCTGATGCAGTAAATGCAGAAGACAGAGTCTTCTCTGTAGTATCCAATGGCAGAAGGAATGGACAAATGTTAAGGAAGACCTTTTTCTCTGTGAGGGTGGTCAGACACAGTACCA